ACACACACACACACACACACACTCACACACACACACACACAGTGATCATATTTGAACTGTATTTCCCAGCAATCATCAGACTAGCGTTCTTTTTCTCTGTCATGTGACGGCCGTATTCCACGTTTTCCTACATATTAGCCATATCTCCAGCGGCTCTGCTAAAGATAACGTTTCCCCTTTTACTCTTTAATTATGGATGATAATGTTGTGTCTAATTAATGTCCTCTCCGTTAATGCGTTCTGACACGTTCCTGCCCGCAGAGACTCCGGCCTCCTTCAGACATTTCTACAGCGCTTTATACAGTACAGATCGATTCAAAGCAGCTTCACAGAGATAAACAGGAAAATAACAGTGTAAAATTCATCAATTATGACACAAATTGAATTTCAACTGTAAAGCAGCTCTACAGAAGATAATAGTCATTATTCAGATTCAATTGTTTGATTCTTAATTCGAAATTTGATTCTTAACCATCAATCAGAAAACAATCATGTCATAATTCAGCTCAATTTGGATTACATTCACTTCATTAACAGTCAATGTTGCAAAATTCATCAATTATGAAACAAATTCAATTCTTTGATTCTTAATTTCGAAATTCGATGAAGCAACTCGACAGAAGACAAAGTGTCAATTTAGCTCAATTCAGATTCAGTTCAGTTAAATAAGTATCAATGTTGTAATGTGAATAAATGATCAAACAAATTCAATTCTTCAATTCTTAATTTAAGATTCAATTTCAGCTATAAACAGCTCTACAGAAGACAATTGAATCATTATTCAGATCAATTCAGTTCACTAACCGTTGATGTTTCGACGTTTAACTATAAAACAGATTCAATTGTTTGATTCTTAATTCAAAATTCAATTCTTAACTATAAATCAACTCAATCAGAAAACAGTCATGTCATAATTCAGCTCAATTTGGATTAAATTCTTTTCATTAACAGTCAATGTTGCAAAATTAATCAATTATAAAATAAATTAAATTGTTCAATTCTTAATTCCGAATTCGATTCTTAACTATAAAGCAACTCTACAGAAAACAATCATGTCATAATTTAGCTGTAAAGCAGCTCCACAGAAGACAAGTGCCATTGAGATCAATTTAGTTCAATAACTTTATCAAGTTATTCAATTATAAAACATTAAATTCTTAATTTAAAATTCAGTTTCAGCTGTAAGCAGCTCTAAAAAACACAATAGAGTCATTATTCAGATTAGTTCAATTCAATTATAGAGTGAGCGTTGCGAAGTTCAACTATAAAACTATTTAAATTCTTGATTTGAAATTCAAAATTCGATTCTTAACTATTAAGCACAAGACAATGGCCTGGTTTCACAGACAGGGCTTAGACTAAGCCAGGATTAGGCCGTAGTTCAATTAGGACATTTAAGTAATTTTCATCAACATGCCTTAGAATAAGACATTACTGGTGTGCATCTTGAGACAAAACAAAGGCACTGGTATATTATAAAATCAATCAGTGCAAGTTACTTTCAGTTAAAACCGCTCAGACTTACACTTTAAAGCTTAAGCTTTGTCTGTGAAACCAGGGGGAAAGTGTCATAATTTAGCTCAATTCAGATTCAAATGTTCTAATGTGAATCAATTATCAAACAAATTCAATTCTTAGATTCTTAATATGCAATTCAATTTCAGCCATAAGCAGCTCTACAGAAGACAACCGAGTCATTATTCACATCACTTCAGTTCTAGTTTTGTTCTCATAGTGTCAGATCGATAATATTTCATATACAGATGTTTATTTCTGCATCGTGTCAGTTTCTGCTTTATTTTTCCCTGCGGATTCGTCTGAGAGCGTGTTTTATTTCAGAGTGTGTTGTTGATATTTTATGGATATGATCATGACACTTTCACAAACGGGTCACATGTGCACTCAGTGATTCTACAGGACAGACGCGTGCTAATAATTGACGAGGTGCTTTTATCTCCGTTTCAGCGTCTGCAGGACGTGTTTGTGGAGTTCAACCATCAGGATCTGCTGGACTTCTACAATCAGGTCAGACTGAGTGCCGCTGATTCCTATCTTCAGTGCGTTCAGACGCTCACGGCTCTGTGTGTGTCTTACAGATGGAGATGATTCAGACTCAGCTGGACTCGCTCAGCTGACACAGCTCCGGTGACGTCTGTGCTTGTTTCTGGATTTGTGTTTCAGACTGGAGCTCCTGGAGTGTTTGAGTGTGAAGTGTTAATGAACTGAAGCTCCGTCACACGTCTGATGATGTTTCATTAAAGATGCTTTTGCTCTGAAGCTCCAGCGTCTGGATTTATGACTTCGTTGCCTTCTCAGGGTTTCTGCAGGTTTTATGAAGATAAACGTAAGACTTTTAAGACCAGGTCAAGAAAATGTAAGGAATAAATTGAATATAAAACAATACGTCAATATGGTTTCTGAATGTATTTTCAAACACTTGTGGTTCAAAGAAAATACAACAAATTACTTTATAATTCATTTTATGAAAAAAAAAAATAGTTCAACTCAAGTTTTGCTCTGCTCCCAAATACTAAAATATGCCAATAACTTGTCGTTTTCCAATACAAATACCTGAACAATCAATCATTTACTTAAAATAACTAGTGCTGTCAAACGATTAATCGCATCAAAAATAAGTTTTTATTTACATAATATATGTGTGTGTACTGTGTATATTTATTATGTATATATAAATACAAACACATGCATGTATATATTTAAGAAAAATGTTTATATATTAAATATATTTATATATATAAATCTATATACATGTAAATATTTTCAAAATATATACTGTATGTTTGTGTATTTATATATACATAATAAATGAACACAGTACACACATATATATATTATGTAAATAAAAACGTTTATTTTTGATGTGATTAATCGCGATTAATCGTTTGCCAGCTCTAAAAATAACAAAATTATAAGCCTTGTTTTATAAGAAAACTGATCAAAATAAAGTGAGTTTGTGATTAAAACAAGAACAAATATCTACCAATGGACAAAAAAAAAAAAAAAAAAACATGACCCTTTTAGAGTGCTTTAAGACTTAAGCACTCTATTTGTTTTCTAACTTCTTGTTTTCTATAAAAAAAGACCTCTAACTAGCTTTCTCTATTCTTTTTCTATTTGTTTTCTTTTTATCTATTATATAATTAACAAATAAAAAAAACCTTGCTATGTGTACTGCGTTAAGCTAGCCGAGACTTGTTATAGCACTTGCATATTATTGCTGTTAGTTTTGATTGCTTCTGTTGTCCTCATTTGTAAGTCGCTTTGGATAAAAACGTCTGCTAAATGACTAAATGTAAATGTAATAAAAATTAACTTAATTCAAAATACTTCATTGGCAGATATTTGTTTCTTGTTTAAAGCATAAACTCACTTCCTTTTGATCGATTTCTCAGAAAACAAGACTTCATATCTTTATTTTGCATCTGCAGTTTGTGTTTGTTTGTTTGTTTGTTTCTTCTTAATGCCATTCCAGCATCTATGGCTATATTCATAGCGAGAACCAGTCGATCCATACACAAGTCTTTGCATCTGCAGTAAATGTGTCTTGATTTAAGGATGTTTAGATATTTGTACTGGAAAACAACACAAAAACACAGAGCAAGATATTCATTTTTTGCAGTTCATGCTACTTTTTTTTTTTTTTGCGGTGCATGCCACAACTTTATGGATTTAAGACTTTCTGCTCTGATTTAAGACCTTTTAAAGGAGACATATTATGCCGCGTTTTACAATATGTAATATAAGTCTCTGGTGTCCCCAGAATGTGTCTGTGAAGTTTCAGCTCAAAATACTCCACAGATCATTTATTATATCATTTTGAAAATGACTATTTTGAGTGGAAGCAGAAACACGCTGTTTTTCGGGCCTGTCTCTTTAAATGCAAATGACAGTAAATAACTCAATAAATGCACTGCTCTGTTGTCTCCTCTGAGGCTGGGACTCTAAACAGTGTTCTGTGCTCGTCTGTGCAGCTAAACACAGAACAGTTAGCATGTTCTGCTAAAACTTTCTCCATGGTATTAGAGCTGCTACACCGTTGTCGCTGTGTGACGGCGTCGTGGGTATAAATTTACAGATTAAGGGGCGGTGATATTATAATGAGATCCCTTTGCCACGTCACCAAGGGAGCGAAATCAGACACGCTCGTTTTCTCAGACGCTTGCAGAAAAAGGCTTCCCAAAACAAAGTTACTGGGTTCATCTTTTTCACGTTTCCTTGGTTGGTAGATCCACCGGGGACCTGATTATAGCACTTACAACCTGGAAAAGTCAGATTTTCATGATATGTCACCTTTAAAGCCTTCATTTGTGGACAGGTGAACGCAGACTCCACAGAAGCCCTGTTTTCAGGAGAATCTGTTTGCTGTAAGTGTTAACTGAGTTCAGATCTGCTGCTCGTCGGTCAGTAGGTGCTTCTGTGTCTTGTCTCGAGGTGCACTCGTTCTGTCCGCCGCAGGGAAACGTGTGACGCACAGATCACTGAACAGATGGCGAGACTCCAGCAGAGACCAGCAGAACACAGAACACAGAGTTCTGGAGGAGCGAGCCGATCACAGGCCGTCTGGACCCAACACAGAGCTTCATCTCGTGATCCAGCAGATGTGAGAGGAAGCACAGAAACACATTCTTACATTAAACTCCACTAGCAATCGAGTGCGTTAGCACATTGGGTTCCTGGTGCCATCGTACAAAGAAAATTGTTTTTGTCTTCATATTTTTTCATCAAAGTATGATAAAGCAATAAGCCCCAAGAAGCCGTGGTTTACAGTGAATTTATAACAGCTAAGGGGTGTTGTTAGGCACGACGCGAAGCAGAGTAAATAAATAAAAACAGTATTCTTCCACCAAACAATGTAGTTCCTCAGAAACAGTTGTGGTTGCAACAAAGTGGTTGCCGAGCAACAAACAAATGTAAACAAAGGTGTATGTTACTTTGTAGAGTCATTTACAATAGCTTCGAACGCGGCTCAGCCAATCAGAATCAAGCACCGGAACTATCTGTTTTATAATACAAATAAAAAATGACTGGATTTCCTCTACACGCTTAAAAATAAACGTTGAAACAGTGTTTTCACAGCAGTGCCATTGAAGAGACATTTTTGAGATCGGTTTAAAAAAAAACATGTTTTTCTTAGTGTGCACTGCAAAAAATTATTCTCTTACTTAATGTTTTTGTCTTGTTTTCTAGTATAACTATCTAAACATTCTTGAATCAAGATTAATTTACTGTACAAGTAAAATGACTTAAGATATTAAGTCTTGTTTTCTGTAAAAAATATTAAAATGTTGCTAGTTTTTGCTTAAAACAAGCAAAACTATCTGCCAATGCGGTAAGAAAAATAATCTTAATTCAAAGGCTAAACTTATTCTTCTTGTCCCATTGGCAGATATTTCTGCTTGTTTTAAACAAAAACTAACAACATTTTAATATTTTTTACAGAAAACAAGACTTAATATCTGAAGTCATTTTACTCGTACAGTAAATTCATCTTGATTCAAGAATGTTTAGATATTTATACTAGAACACAAGACAAAAACACTAAGCAAGAGAATCATTTTTTTGCAGTGTAAATGATATTTTAATAATCTAAAGAAGTTCATTGTGGAGCCATTAATGCAAATGAAGAATCTGAATGTTCAAGATTGTAGGCTGTATGGATGTTGATCAGTAAATCGACATTTGAAGTCTTTCTAAAATCTGGCCTGTAGTTAAAGTTGCAATCCAGTCCAATTTATTTGTATAGCGCTTTTCACAGTACACATTGAGAAAAAGTCGGTCTGACACACATCAAAACATATTTCAGATTTAGATATTTATAAAGGGCACAAAATCACCTTCTCATTCATCGTTCCTTGCTGATGAAATGATCTTCCGTTCTATCCGTGCATCTGAATCCCTGACAGCATTCAAGAAACTTCTTCACTTGCTGTAAAATACATTTTCAATCTTACAGTGCATGGCCTACATTTAGACTAAATACAAATATGGAAGGAAAAGCCTACTAGAGGTCAAATTTAGATAAATAATAATTTCAAATTGTTGAATTTTTAGATATATTGTAATATTAAACTATTCTTTGAAACATTGCAGAGTATATTCCTTGCTGATTGTTCTACAAATGAGACATATGCGAATATATTTTCTTGGACTGAAATAAATGGAGAGAAAAATATATATTTTTAAATGCTTTTTATAAAAATATATTTATACATATTTTGATAATTGTTTAACTTTTCCAGTGAATGAAATCACACATTCTGTGAAAACAAGCCTTGATATCTCAAGCAGCGCTGCTCCTGAAGCATTTATCTCAGCTTTTTTGATATTTTAACTGGAAAACAAGATAAAAAGGACTAATTAAAAACTGATCTGCACTGTAAAAAAAAAATCAGTAAAATTTACGGTAAAAAAACGTGGCTGTGGTTGCCGGAATTTTACTGTAAAAAATACGGTAGCAAAGTTTTAGGTTTACGGTTTTAACATAAATTTACAGTTAAATACCGTAATTTCATTAACTGATATAATGTTAATATACCAACCTTATTGAAGTACTGAAATCTGTTTTGTACCTTTGTAATACACTGATAACCACCAAATGCAGGAGGTGATGAGAAAGTCACATGATGAACCAAAGCCCATCACAAGCAGCTTTTAAATAATAACATATATAGAAGGTGCACAGTGTCATTCACACAAACACCAAACACCATCATGGTAACACACATGAAACTGAAATAATGCAATAAACATTCATTTAACAACATTAGGTGTAACACACAACCCTAATTTTTTACAGTCTTTTACCATTAAATTCACGGTAATTTTTTACAGTGTGGGTCAGTCTATCAGTGAAGTGTCTCCTAATAAACACATCATGTTTGGATGAATCGCAATGAACCTCCGGAGGAAACACGGTTCCTCAAATCCTGAACACGTGAACAGATGAGCACTAAATGGATTAAAGCAATAAATCACCCAAGAATCAGGACTGAGTCATTATTTATTCACCCTCATGTCGATCCAGACCATATGCTGTCAGTTTCTGCTGGGAACTCGAGGGTTTTAGGCTGGTTCCGGAGCTTGAGGTTACTGCGAGAGAGATTTTTAGCAAATGAAGACAGAATGGAGATGTTAGTGAGTTTCTGAACGCCGAAAGGTTTCTGAGTTTGACTCCGAGCTGAAGACAAACGCAGATCTTTGAGTGAAACTGGATCCGAGAGACAGATGGAGAAAATGTGCA